ATTGCTTCCAGCACATTATTTTTATAATCAGAAGGAGTTACAAAAACTCTGGCAAGCAAAGACTAACACTTCATCTGGCGAGTATCAGGATTAGACAGCAGCTATTTACCTATTTACTGCTTTTCTAGCAGCGTGTGGGATGGCTTTCCTTGCACTCCGGGGACGTGGTGAGGAAGCTCTTTCCTCCCCAGGTTCATACTGACCCACTCCCTCCTCTGGAGTCACCTTTTCGTATTTTTATGACACCAGAGTCTATAAACACAACGTTAAATATTTATGGTTGATATCTGCCGCTTCTAAAAATACGGAGAGAAGAAACTCTGTTTACAAGGCCTCCACTTAACCTTCTTGCTGAATTAACCGGAGCTGTCTCTGCCCCTGAGCTCACCGGGCTGGGACCTGCTTCTACCTGGGCTGGTTTCCTGGGACTTAATAAACACCCAGACTGTGGACTGGTTCAAACCTGCACAAGCCAGTTCGACTTGTTATTGCATTTATGAAAAGTAATTAGATAGTACACGAACTGATGAACTAGAAATTGAAAAAATAATATCTTTTTCTTACAAAAACCACGTTGAATGCTTTGTTAAAAGCTTAAGAAAGACAGCCAAACAAAAATGTGCTGTCGAATTGGTTGCAGAGTGGACAGCAGTGAAGAGATTTGGGGAAAGGAAACTCGACACGGACTGTGCTCTGAGATGGCTTCACACATCTGTGAATTCCCACTCTACTTCAAGGAGAATAGCACGGCAGTAGAGGTTCCCCCATGGAATGGTTTATAAGGAAAGCTGACCCCAAATGAGGATTAAAGAACTCACGTTCTAAGGAAAACCCCACTACTCTCCCTTTCAAGAGATGAGCGAATAGATCTATAGTGATATATTTTAATGTAAAAAAGCAACAACTTTCCGGAAGGGATGCTTCGGCCTCTGACCTTGCCCCCAGGTTTGAAGGAATAGCGTATGGACAGGGAAAGCCACTCCAAGTGAAGAAACCCAGCACCACGGCCTTAACCAAGTGGCCAGGGCCAACATCACATCACAGCAGTCAGTTGTGTGGGCCACCCCACCCGTGATGCCATCCACGGGCTTCCCCTTCCTCTCCGGTTTACCTCCTGAAACCCGCCACCCAGGCTAACCCCGTGTAGAACATCAACAATCCAAACTGGAAAACTTTACGAGATGAGGGTCCAGTGGTCCTCAAAACTGTCCAGATCATCAAGGCAAGTCTGAAAAACTGTCACTGGCCAGAGGACATATGATGAGTAACCAAGGACACATGATGGTTAAATGCAACCTACTGCCCCGGGAAGGATCTTGTGATGAAAAAAAGAACTTTTTTTGAGACAGAGTCTCACTGAGTTACCCTTGGTAGAGTATCATGGTATCATAGTTCATAGCAACCTCAAACTCTTGGGCTCAAGCGATTCTCGTGCCTCAGCCTCCCAAGTAGCAGGGACTACAGGCACTCGCCACAGTGCCCGGCAGACGTCACAGGTGCCCAGGTGAGGCTCATGACAGCCTGGGAGCCACAGCACCATTCCCCACTCGAGGAAGCCAACCCCGCAAGAGAGTCTGGAAGATTCCCTGTCAACTCTAGAATCTTAGGACCCCATGAACGTTCATTAAGTCAACCTGAGTGTTTAGAGTTCCCAAGACGGAATTCAAACTCACCAGTTTCCTTTGTTCAAATCTGATGGGCCTCAAGTTACTGTTGAAACAACTGCTGGGTGTTGTGTCTTCACGGCCCAATGTTGGGCACAGAAGTTCAATGAGCACCTGCCACACAAACGAATGAAGGAATTTAGTGCCATGACAGCCAACAGCAACTAAGATGCCGTCGTCTTTTAAGACACTAGTAAGAGATGAAATTTTATCAACTTGGCGAATATACGTTTGGAGAAAAAATTCTTATTAACTTTTTTGGTTTTGTACTTTCTGTGCAAAATTAAGACAGCCAACTGCTTCATTTTGAGAAATGGAAAGCCCAATATATCTCGAATATTTTGGGGCAGGGGAGGGCCAGGAAGAGCCTGGGAGGCAGCGGTGGCTGTGAAATCACCTGGAAGGTTGAGACAAGATTACGGAGCAGGTGGGAGATGTGGAGCTGCTGTCAGGCCGCAGTAATGGTTTACACTGGACTGGAGGGAAAACTGGTTTTCTGTTTGAGAATACAATGAAGAGCAAAACACAGGTACCTAATACTTTCTAAGTAACTGGCTGCCATATGGTGGAGTCAGAGTCTTGACATGTAGGCTCTACCAGCTTCTAGACTGTGCACAGGCTAAATACACAAGTGATTTTTCGAGCATTTTCCAAGGGATGATTATGGACCGAAGCGATCTTCTCTACCCAAGATGCCCATTTATGCGTGTAAAGGATAAACAGGATCTGACAGCCAGCACCCCTGAGCCGGCCTCTTGATACTACACCCTGGTCTAGTCCTGTCCCATACGCGCCAGGTGTGGTCTATGTGACCAACAGAACATGACGCATACATCACGGAGTGCTATTCAGCCATAAGAAAAGATGGAGCTTCAGCATCTTTTGTGCTTACCTGGATGGAGATGAAATATATTCTTCTTAGTAAGGTATCTCAAGAACGGAAAAGCAAGTACCCAATGTACTCACTACTAATATGAAGGCAATATATAAACAACTGCAGCCCCACACAAAAGGAAAACACAACTGGAGTCTAGTAAGGGGTAGGGGAGAGGAGGGAGACAGGAGGGAGGATGAAGGGTAATTGGTGGGATCTCCCCTAATGTACTCAAGGTGAGGGTGTTGAGCGCACCCCGAGTGAAGGGCTGAACTACAACTTGAACTCTACCTTAGAAATGATAATAATGTAAACTAAACATCTGTGCCCTCATAATAATCTGAAATTTAAAGAAAAGGTATGATGCAAACTGTGGTACACACTTCTGTCACTGCCAAGTTCCCAAAGACGGCAGCCTGGGCTGAGCCGGGAACACAGTCTCAGGGGAGGCCCTGAGGCGGCGGCACCTTGGTTCACCCAGAACCTGAGGGAGATAATCCACGTCTGCAGTTTTCACCTGCTGGGTTCTCACCCAGTTAGTGACGCGGCAATCAATAAATAAATAATAAAGGGGCTAAAACAGGTGGAAATCAGAGACTGAGTGTGGAAATGAACCCAGGCCATCTGCTCCCCCACAAGCCAGTAATTACTAGTTTATAGACTTGTTTGGTTTCAAGCAAGCATGCAAATAAAAACAAACAGCTCCCAGGAAACAGGATGGCTCTATCTTGCCATCAGGAATTATTCCACTTTTGATAAAATCTGACTCTACTGGGTTAATCATTTACCTCCCAGATTCATGCAGTCCTAGAAACCAGCCCGACATTTTTTTTAGATCCTCAGTGAATAACCGCTCCACTCACCTAGCATTTCCACTTCCAAGTAGTATCGATAGCATTTTAAAAAATGAGATATGGAGAAATAGCCCTGCGTAAAAAGCCCTTGGTTTTCTACGAGGTAAGTCCTCAACCTGCATGATTTACTTTAGCAAATTCTTGACATAAACACACAAAAAGCTCCTCTATCATGTTGCATCAGTCTAGAAGAGTAGGTTTACCTGAAAGAAAGATACGCTTTGAGGCTTTAAATTGCTTATATTATCTCATGGAGCAAAATTTAGATTTTTGTTTCCTTTAAAGTCAAATTCCAGTTTCTGTTTGGTCAGCTGTTTCTGAGTCTGCCATTATCCCCAAACAAGCAGAGGTGGTGAATGTCCATGTTCATTACCTGGGGTGCTAATTAGGAAGCTGGATCTCGCTCCCTACTGTCACAACTGCTGCTGAAAGCCGATCCTCCAGGGCCCCCAGTCTGTCTCCACGGGCTCAACCTGGCGACAGGACACCCAGGTCACCTCCTGTTTACCGGGTAAACCCACCGCTGCCAAGACAGGAGATGCCAAGGTCAAGACTTCACCAGCCACACCAACACTTTCAAATACAGCCTGCCTCTGGCTGACCTTGGGTCAAATTTATGCTTCCTTGAGAAACGCCAGAGAGTTTGAAAGACGTCTGCCTGAGCACCCAAGATTCGCCTGCACAGGGCAACTTCTTTCCAAGAAAAGTGCACAAGACTCCATGGAAAGGCCTTTGGATTCCAGGAACCGAAACCCAAAGACAAAAGACCTTTTGTTTGTGCCGCCCTGTGGCCAGGTCAAGGCTGGGCTGTGCCCTCCTCTCGGAGGCCATGGGCCTCACAGGGTTAAGGCTGCAGAGCTGAATCAGAGAAGACTCCAGGGCAGAGGCTGGGGCCCTGAGCCCACATCCAGACCAGAACATTCCTCCCGCTCAGCAGCATGGAAAAGTCCCTCCCAGGGCAAGTAGCAAGAGCAGGTTCTCAGACCAAAATCCATTTCATGTCCCAAATGTGACATCTACTGAGAAAAGTCCCCCTGCACTCCTAAAACGGGAAACACAAGGAATTACGTCCTGAGTAGGGACGGTAGATGACAACTGGATCCTACTCACATGAAAAGCCAGCTGTGGCCCCTCCCCCTCAAAAAAAAAAAGTAAGATTAAAGCGCACTGACTGAGTTGAGGCCAACTTCAGTGTCTGGCTTTTGACCTTATTGCTCAAATAGGCTTCTATTCATCAAAACAACAATTACAGGGACCTTTTATGGAACGCTGCCCTCAGAGCTCTGCTGGATTTACACATTAATTTTACTGGTGACGAAGAACAGGAACTCTTTGGACGACTCCAGCTGCCTGTGAACGTGCCTGAGGCCCAGTGGCACGGTTGCAGGTGGCCACTGCCACCCTGGTCTACATGTAGCAGAAGGGAAGGTGGAACGAGGGGAGGCTCCATCACCGGTGCAGGGTGAACCCAGTCCCCAGGAACTACATGCTGAAGCCCTAATCTGCACCACCTCACAACATGACCTTGTTTGGAAAAAGGGTTATCTCCGAGGTAGCCAGTTAAATTAAGGTGCACAGTCAATGTGGGGTAGGCCCGGCTGCTAATCTGAGTGGTGTCTTTAGACACCAGGGAGAGACAGAGACACTGAGGAAGACCACATGATAGCACAGACAGGAGTGACACGTCTACAAACTAGGAACACCAAGGAGCACCTGCAACTATGAGAAGCCGGGAGAGGCAGGAAGGACCGTCCTCTGTGGGCTTCCAAGGCAGCACAGCTCTGCTGATGCCTTGACTTTGGACTTGTGGCCTGCAGAGTTGGGAGACAGTACGTGTTTTAAGTCATTCAGTTACTGGCACAAAACAAGCACTGACACAGTGGGCTCCACCCGCCTCTTGCAGGGAATCACAGGTAACAAGGTCCTCTGCTGTGCTGCGGCCTTGGGTTTGCAACCCAGCCACAGTCAAGTATGTTCTCCTTGTCCCTCAGCACACGGGTGAGGGACACAGTGGGGAGGGAGGATAGCCAAGATCCACAATGATGCACCTGACAGTTCAGGGCTGTAGGATGTGTTGTCCACAGATGCACACGCACGTCTGTTTATGCGGCTGGCACCTACACGCGCCTCCCCACATGCATTCGCAGACCTTTTAAAACAGGGCCATTTGTACTGTGTTTGACATCACTGGAGGATTATTCTAAAAACAAAGGTGGAGAACGGGCTTCACATCAATAGCAGAGACCGTGCGGCTGCAGCTTCGCCTGGTCCCTGGGACCGCGCCACCAAACCACAGAACGGATGAGAAACCATTACCATAATGAGCTCTTTCTGCACTCCCAGTAATGAGTCCTCCTGAAGAATTAATTACAAATCCTGAAATGGCTTCCCTTAAAGGACAAGGACACACAGAGAAGCAGCTCACACCACCTGCAAGCTACTTACTCCCTTGCTCCTGTGCCTACCTCGTGGAACGTCTAACAACTACTGAATCCTCATTGAGCCTCAGACTTCCTGTAGAATATCCTTTCATGCCCTGGGACTTCTCCATCACTCCAGGGTAGAGGAAGACAAACATTTCAAAATTCAAGCCCTGGATATCATTTTAGAGCTTTGGATTCCACACTCCATGTATGAGTCGACTAGGATCAATTATTAAACATATAAGATACTCAGAATCTTCAAGACTTTCCTCACGCTTCCCCAGGGAAATAATGTGTCTCTTACAAAAATCGAAAGTCACTGAGTTTCTATATGGGAAAAAGATTGGGAAATTTTAGTCAACTCTACCCAATGCTCACCATCCATCGGACAGGAAAGAAGCCACCTCTTCACTTTACCTAATTAAGCAACTGCCATTAAAAAAGCATAATATATAGATGCAAAATTTCAAAGCCGGGCAAGGCAGATGAGCCCCGTGTCCAGAAGCGGCCACTGTGTTGATCTGACTTTGCAGTTCCTAATTCATAACCTCGCACTACAAAGCTTTCTCAGCCCTGCATCTCAGGATCAAGAATGGTTTCTAAGGGATATAAAAGGGTGGCTGAAAATTACTCAGCTTGGTCAAAAAATCAGAAAACTGGTGGTTAGCTAAGCTGTAATTCACAAATGGAAGGAAGGAGGAGGGGAGGGAGGGAAGGAAGGAAAGAAGAGAGAGGAAAGAGGAAAAAGAGAGAAAGAAAGAGAAGAGAAAAATGAAAAGAAAGAGGAAGAGGGAAGAGAAGGGAGAAGAACACGCAGGCAGAGCCAGGATCTGTAC